CGGCGCCGCCCGCGCCCGGGAAGCCGCCGCCGGGCGCCGAGGCGCCCGCGCCCGCGGCGCCGGCGCCCGCGGCGGCGCCCGCGGCCGTCAAGGTCGAGGCGCCGCCCGCGGCCGCGCCGGACGCGGCGCCCGCGCCCGCGGAGCCCGCGGCCGCCGCCGACGCCGCGGCCGCCGCGCCCCCGGCCGACGCCGCCGCGGCGCCCGAGCCGACGCGCGACGAGGCGCCGGCGGCGGCGGCCGAGCCGCCCGCCGACGCGCCCGCCGACGCGGCGCCGGACGCGCCCGCGGCGCCCGCGGACGCCGCCGCGGCGCCGCCGCCGGCCGCGGACGCGCCGCCGGCCGCCGCCGCCGACGCCGCGGACGCCGCGCCGGCCGCGTCCATGGCCGTCGACGAGCCGCCGCCCGCGGAACCCGCGGCGCCCGCGGCGCCCGCGGGCGACGTCGACATGGTCGACGCGGAAGCGAGCGCGGCGCCCGCCGACGAGGCCGTCGCGGCCTCGGCCTAGGCGCCGCGGAAAACCAAGCCACCGCCCCCCCAAATAGTCCCCGCAAGCCCCTAACACGGCTCAAGCTCGCGCGCGTGCCCGAGTGCCGGCGGCGTTCGCGATCGGCGGCAGAGCAAGCCCGGCAACCTTGACTCATTGAATATTGCAAGGCGGTTGATTCTAGCGGCTGGCAAGCTTAAGGCATGATCTGCCTCGGGATGCTTTGCTCCACCCCCGGGTGACGCGGGGCTGCCGCCGACGCGCGCCGTTCGCGCGCCGGGGCCGCCGCCGCCCCGGGGCGCGGCCGGTCCCGCGCATCCGCGCTTCTCGCCCCGAGGCGCGGTCGACGATGATCAGCGTGAGCCGGGTCCCTCGGGTGCCGCACAGCCACGAGGCCAAGTTCCGCCACAAGGCGAACCCCGCGGTGGCCTTCCCGCAGATCAGCGCCGTCGGGCGGTCCGTCGCCGAGGCGCGCTACGACCGGCGCCAGTCCGCGCGCGCGGGCCGCCGGGGCAGCCCGAGCTGGCTCGTGAGCGACGCCGCGCACTGGGGCAACGCCGGCGGGGACCCGCACCGGCGGCCCCACACGCGCGAGGCGACCCTGGCGCCGCCGCACCGGGGCGGCGACGCGGCGGCGCAGCCGCGGCGCGCGCCGCCACCGCGCGAGGCCCCCCGGCCGCTCGTCGCGGGCATCGCCGTCGTCGAGCGGCCGCTGAGCTCCTACGGCGCGAAGCGCGGGCCGGACCGGGCGCCCCAGCCCCTGGCGCGGTCCCTGCGGGACCGCGAGGCGAGCCGGCTCCGCGGCGCGCAGCACCAGCGGAGCGACTCGTTCATGGTCCAGGGCTCCGACGCGATCGCGCCCCCGGCGAAGCGCGACGTCGGCACGGCGCCGCCGGCCGCGCCGCCGCCGCCCGCGATGTCGCCGCCCCTCGCGAGCCCCGCGCCGCTGCACAGCGCGCCCCAGCCGCGCGTGCCGCGGCGCGCGACGGACACGGCCGAGGAGCGGCGCGCGGCGCGCGCGCGCCACGACGCGCCGGGCGCGGCGCACCTGCGGCCGACGAAATCCTCATCCCGCCACACCATCGCGCCCCTCCAGCGGTCGAGCTCGCGCGTCTCCGACCGGTCCCGGAGCCCGCCGCCGAACTTCGACGACGCGGACTCGCGTCGCGGCGGACAGCCCCTGGACAACGACGCGGGCTCCGACTCCGACGAGCCCGACGACCCCTGCGAGTCGCCCTTCTACGGCGGCCTCGGGGGGCTCAGCCCCTGGTAGGGGGCCCGTTTTTCCGATCGTATATATAGTCGCTCGAACATTGAACCTCGGGTTGAACAAAAAGTGTTTATGTTGAACAACGCCGGGCTTGCGCATGCAATGAGGGAGCGAGGGCAGCCTTCCCGATGCTGATCTGGCTGCTTGCGCTCGCGGCGCGCGGCGCGGCCGGCGCCTCCTCGTGCTCTGCCAACGGCGCCCTTGTGGCCGGCGCCTGCCGCTGCAAGGACGGCTGGCGCGGCCCGGACTGCGGTGCCCTGGACCTCGTCGACGGCGGCCGGCCGCTCTGGCCGCCGGCGAGCCGCTTCGGCGCGGCGTCGTCCTGGGGCGCGAGCGTCGTCGCCCACGACGGCGCCCACTGGATCTTCGTGAGCGAGATGGCCGCGGGCTGCGGCCTGGCGACGTGGCGGTCGAACAGCATGGTCGTCGCCGCGCGGAGCGGCGACGGCCCGCTCGGCCCCTACGCGGCGGCCGAGGTCCTAGTGCCGCCCTTTGGACATAACGCCGCGCGTGCCCCCCGCGTCCTTCGTTCCCGCGCGCGCGCGCGCGTCTCACCCCCCCCCCCGACCGCAGATGATGATCCCGGGCACGGCGAAGAGCCCCTGGATCCTCCTGCACATCGGCGGCTACCGCGTCGAGGCGAAGCGCACCTGCGGCGGCGGCGTGACGACGCCCGAGCGGCGGCGGCTCGCGGGCCGGGGCGCGCGGCGCCGGCCGCGCGACGCGGCGCCGGTGTCGCGCGAGGGCCGGCCCGCGGCCGCGGGCGAGCCGGGCGCGCCGCCGCGCGAGAAGCGGCCGAACCTGGGCACGCGCGTGCTCGTCGCCGACGGGCCGCGCGGCCCCTGGAACGCGACGACCCTCGCGTGCGCCGAGGGCCACGAGAACTGCGACTTCGCGAACCCGGCCATGGCCATAGACCCGGACACGGGCGAGGCGCTCGCCGCCTACAAGATCATCCACGGCCCCTTCCGCGGCCGGGCCATCGCCTTCGCCAGGGCGCCGTCCTGGCGCGGGCCCTTCGCGCCCGCGTCGCGCGACCGGTGGAACAAGGCCCCCGGCATCCCCTGCGGCAGCCACCAGTACTTCGCCTGCGAGGACCCCTTCCTCTGGCGCGCGCCCGACGGCGTCTACCACGTCCTCTTCCACCACAGCGACGGCCGGACGCGCGAGGACCTCGGCGGCCACGCGTGGAGCGACGACGGCGGCGCGACGTGGACGCTGAGCGAGACCAACGCCTACGGCAACAACTTCACCACCTTCGACGGCGCGCGCCACACGTTCAAGCGGCCCCAGCGGCCCCAGCTCCACGTCGCGGCCGACGGCACGCCCCTCGCGCTCGTCCTAGGCGTCGCGGGCGACAGCGTCGCCGGGCCCGGGTCCTGCCGGCCGCCGTCGTCGAGCCCGGGCTGCGACCGGTCCTGGACCCTCGGCGTGCCGACGTCCGCGCTCGCGGGGCGCCGCGCCGACGCCGACGACGAGGCCGACGCGCCGCGCGCGGCGCCGCGCGGCCCCGCGGCGCCGGAGCCGCGGCGGAAGACGAGCTTCGAGGAGCGCCACGACTGGTAACCTTAATCGGGCGCGCGCTCCGTGGCCATGAAGAACTCGAGGACGTGGCGCGTCGTCCGGCCGCCGACAAGGTCCGCGTGCTTCACCGTCGAGCCGCGAACCCGCGCGCCGTCGAGCCTCGCCTCGGCGACGTAGCGCGCCGCGGGCGCCTGGCCGTGGGCGCGGATCTCCAGGAATCGGCCGCCGCCGAAGGACACGTTCGCCGCCGCGACGAGGGGCCGGCCCAGCTCGTAGGCGCCGCCGCAGGGGTCCCGCGGGTACAGGCCCAGCGCGTTGAAGAGCAGCCACGCGGAAATTTGGCCGACGTCGTCGTTGCCGGGGAGGCCGCCCGGCCCGAGGCCGTACAACCGCTCGCCGACGAGGACGTCGTCGACGATCTCCTGGGTCCGCCAGGGCCGCCCGAGGGCGTTGTAGATAAAGGGCGCGTGGTGCACGACCTCGTTGCCGTGGCAGTACTGGGACCCCGTGACGCAGCCCGTGACGTCGCGCGCGGCGGCGTCGTCGACGCCCGCGCCCGGCGCGAAGAGCTCGTCGAGGCGCGCGGCGAGGAGGTCGGCGCTGCGCTTCTTCGCCGGGTGGAGCAGCCTCGCGAGCCCCGGGACGTCGACGAGCGCGGGCGCGAAAAAGTACTGGAGCGGCGAGCCCTCGGTGAAGTCGTGCGCGCGCGGCCGGTGCGCGTAGTGGATCTCCCGGGCGTCGAAATCTTCGCCGGTGGAATCGCCGGCGAAGTACCCGACCTTGGGGTCAAAATAAAGCTCGAACGCGCGCGATCGGCGCCGGAGCTCCGCGGCGCGCGGCCGGTCGCCGGCCCTCGCCAGCAGCCGCGCGGCGCAGGCGTCGTCGACGGCGACCTCGAGGCCCGTGCTGACGGCTTCCGGGACGTCCGAGCGGAGCCGCTCGTTCCTCGCGTGCGCGGCGGCCGCGGGCTCCGCGCGCGCCTCGTCCGAAACCGTTCTTTCCACCGCCCTCGCCGCGGCGGCGGCGCCGCCGACGTCCAGCCCCTTGAGGAACGCGTCGGCCACGATGGCGACGCCGTGGTAGCCGATCATCGTGTCCGTCTCCGCGGCGCCCAGGAGCCACTTGGGCAGGCGCCCCTCGTGCATCTCGCTCCAGCGGACCATGGAATTCGCGACGTCGCCGGCGACGAGCGGCGCGAAGAACGCCAACCAGGGCGCGGCGGCGCGGAACGTGTCCCAGGTGCTCAGCGTCGAGTAGGTGCGGCGGTAGTAGGGCGGCGCCGCGAAGGCCGCGGGCGCGAGGCCGTCCGCGTCGCTGACGACGTTCGGCGCCAAGAGCGCGTGGTAGAGCGTCGAGCGGAGCAGGCGCGGGAGAAACGCACGGTCCAGCGTCGTCCCCGGCGCGTCGACGGCGGCGATGTGGAACCGATCGAGCTCCGCGGCCCAGGCGGCCTCGGCCCGTCGGAGCGTGGCCGCGAAGCGTCGCTCCGGCGAGGCGCCCGGCGCCGCCTCCGCGGCCAAGTTCCGCGTCGCGCCCTCGACGGACGTGAGCGACAACGCGCAGCGCACGTAAATCTCCGAGTGGCCCGCCAAGATGAGGGCCGTGCGGCCGCTGATGTCGACGGACGCGCCGTCGTGCTCGCAAGCGAAGTACGTCGTCCGCACCGCGCGCGCCGCGCCGCCGCGGCCGCGCCGCCCGAAGCCCGCGGACGTCCGCGAGCCCACGAGCAGGCCGTTCGCCTCGCGCAGGTCCGCGGCCGTCGTCCGCGCGTTCTGGCCCCAGTCGAGGTCGAGCTTCGCGCCGCAGCGGCGCCGCCGCGGGCACGCGACGCGCGTCGAGCCGCTTCGCAGCGTCGCCGTCGCCTCGACGCCGCAGCCCGTGGCCGTCGACGCCGCGTAGAGGCCGGGCGCCGCGCACTCCTTGTCGTGGTCCAACGGCCAGGGCTTCTCGTTGGAGCCGCAGACCGGCACCAACAGCAGATCGCCGAAGTCGCCGAGGCCCGTGCCGCTGAGCGCCGTGTGCGTCAGGCCCTGCAGCTTCGTCGAGTCGTAGTGGTAGCCGCTGCAGTGCGTCCACCGGTTCTGCACGCCGTTCGACGGCGCCATCTGCACCATCCCAAAGGGCAGCGTCGCGCCGGGATGCATGTGGCCCTCGCCGCCCGTGCCGAGGAAGAGGTCCACGTCGCTCGCCTTGGCGCGCATGCGGCACCGCGCCAGCACGCCGTGCCCGCCGCGCTCCTCGTCCGCGGCGACGGCAGCAAAGGCCGCGGCGAGGAATAATTGGGCTGCGTTCATGGCAGATCTCGAGCTGCCATCGCGCTTAGATGGGTAAACATGTGCATCTTTTCCTCGGCCTGGAAGGTGAAGCGAAATTGAGGCGCAAGCACGCTCGTCCCTCTGCGTCAGGAGCAGCTACCACTTTGAAGCGTCGGTGCTCCGCGCCGATGCGGCGGCTCTGCGCGGCCCTCGCGGTCGTCGCATCCGTCACCAATTCGCTGCAGTGCCGCGCTCCTAGGACCGTGCGCGCGCGCACCGCGGGCCTGCTGCGGGCCCTCGACGCGCGCCAGCCCGGCGCCGCGAGCCGGCGCACGGCGGCGGGCGCCGCGGCCGTGGGCGCGCTCGTGACGCCGGACCTCGCCGGCGCCGCGACCACGCCGGCCGTCGAGGACGTCGTCGAGAACCCGGCGCTCGTCTGGAAGCAGGGCGAGAAGCGCGACGCCGCGTGCAACGCGGCGCGCGTGCGCAAGGCGTTCCCCGGCCCCTTCGTCAACTACCTGAGCCGCTTCCTGCTGAGCTACGACGAGGGGAGCCGCGCCTTCTGGCGCGCCGGCTCCGCGGAGATCCCCATCGCCTGGGACGAGCAGAAGGTGCGGCGGAAGCGCGCGACGCAGTTCGCCAACTACGCGGCGTCCGTCGAGCGGGGCCTCTGCGTCTACGCGGAGAAGTCCACGACGGCGGCGGGCGACTACAGCGCCACGCCCCAGCTCGGCGTGCGCCAGCTCCTGTCCCTGCTCAAGAGCCGCTACGGGTTGCTGCCGGACGCGCAGCGCCAGCTGAGCCTGCTCTTCAGCCTCCTCGACCCGCCGCTGCAGCCCAGCGAGGCCATCGCGTCCCTCGCGGCGCGCTACGAGAACGCGACGGTGGCCGCCGTGGACGTCGTCGACGGCGGGTCCTACGCCGTGAGCGACGCGGCCGCGCTCGCGCGGTTGTCGGCGCGGCTGCCCGCGCCCGCGGCGGGCGGCAAGGCCGCGCGGCTCGGCGCGCCGCGCTTCGCGCCCACGGGCAGAATCCTCGGCTTTATTGTGACGGAGGCCGGCTGCGGCTACGGGGCGCCGCCGGACGTGACCGTGTCCGCGCCGCCGGGCGACGACGCGCGGTCGCGGCCCGCGCGCGCGCGGGCCGTCGTCGACGACAAGGGCCGCCTCCGGGGCGTCGAGCTCGTTGACGGCGGCGTGGGCTACGTGCCGTCGGGCCCGGAGAACGACCTGACCGTCGTCCTCGACGTCGCTCCCCCTGCGGACAATTCCGCGTGCGGCACCGTCGCGACGGCGGAGGCGATCTTGGAGTACGCGCTCGTCGGCGTCGACGTCCAAGCCAGAGGCGCGCCGACCTACGGCTACACGCGGGCCCAGTCCCTGGGCGCCGTCTTCTCCGACGTCGAGGGCGTCCGGGTGTCGCGGCCCGCGGTCGCAGTCGCGCGGCTCGAGTACGCGGCGCGGCGCAACGTGCCGCCGCCGACGGCCGCGCGCTGGGCGCCGCGCGACGCCGCGAGTTCGTCGCTGACGGCGCTGTTGGGCGTCGGCCTCGTGCCCGTCTGGGACGGGGCGACGCACAAGTTCCCCGCGGCGGCGTTCGGGCGCATCGAGGGCGCGAGCCGATCCATGCGGTCCGACATGACGCCCGTGCGGCGGCCCGTGGAGCTGCGCGGCGGCCAGCTCGTAAGGTTGGCGCTCGCGGGCGCCATCTGCACGGCGACGACGCGCGCCGTGCTCAACCCGCTCGAGCTCTCGAAGACGCGCGCGCAGGCGGCCGCGTCGGGCGGAGCGCGGGACGACGACGCGGCGCACGGCGCGGCGTCGCCCTGGCTCGGCGTCGAGGCGACGGCGGCGGCGGGCGCGGCCCTGGGCACGTCGTCCTTCGGGGTCTACGAATTATTGCAGCGCGCGCTGCCGAAGCTGTCGAACGCGTTCTTCGCCGACCCCGGGTTCGCGACGGCGCACGAGCTCGAGCTGAGCCTCGCGTCGAGCTTCGGCGCCGTGCTCGTCGCCGCGGCGCTCGTCGCGCCCCTCGAGGCGGCGAAGGTGCGCCTCATGCTCAGCGAGGAGCCGTCGCCGCCGTCGCTCCGGTCGTCCCTGCTGGCCATCGCGACCGACGGCGACGAGCTGCGGCCCGCGAAGCTCTGGGACGGGTTCTACCCCTTGCTGGCGCGGGAGCTGCCCTTCACGACGGCGAAGCTCCTGGTCTACTCGTCGGCGCAGCAGGCGCTCTTCCAGCTGCTGCCCGCGGCGCGCGAAAGGCCCCTGGCGTCGCTCGGCGTGACGATCTTCTGCGGCGCGCTCGCGGGCGCCGCCGGCGCGCTGCTGTCGACGCCCGCCGACGCCGTCGTGACGGAGCTGGCCACGGGCAAGCACGGCAGCGACTGGACGAAGGCGCTCGCGGCGATCACGGGCGCCGAGGGCGAGGCCGAGGCCGCGGGGCCGGGCCTCGCGGCCGTGCCCCGGCTCTTCGCGGGCGCGGCCCAGCGGTGCCTGCTCTTCGCGGTCATCATCACGGTGCAGCTCCTCTTGTTCGACTTCTGCCGGGACAAGCTCCAGGTGTCGCCGGAGAACCTGAGCCTGGGCCTCGACGTGTTCGCCGACCGGCTGTCGTTCTACGAGTATTAACAAATGAGTCCACGGGTGAGATTTTTGGTCGGGAATTAACTATCGAGTGGCCTCGAACACGGAGGGCGAGTGGTCTAGCCGTTCTCGAAGTAGGATTGAATTTCGCGCTGTTCGCGCTCACACGCGGAAAGGTCCTTCGCCATTTTGATCCTTTCGCATGCTTCCGCAGTATCCTGTTCATCCCAGCCATCCTCCACATCATACATACACCCAATGAGCAATGATAGTGGCATGTGACCACGGCGGTCTGAAAGCGTCGCAACTTCCGGCTGGTGCTTCGCGATGAACGCGACAATCAATTGAATACTCAGAATCTGTTCGCCCTTGGCGTAATCGCTCATAGCAAAATGTAAAAGGCCACCCTGGTCATTTGTCCGATACCAAGATCTAAAACCTGCCTTGTGGAGAAGGTGGATGATAGCTGGAGCAGAATTCAAGGGTAGCGATCTCTGGAGGTCATGTCCGCGATTCATAGCAGCGAGAAAGCAGTCGTGTTCCTCCAGCTTCGAGTCCCGCGCACCCTTCGACAGCAAGAGTGAAACGACTTCATGGGTCTGATGCATACAAGCCAGGCTTAGAATGGACTGCACTCCCCCACAGATGAGGCGAACCATAGCACTGGCGTTAGTACTTGGATTAAGGAGGAGGAGGATACGGGGGATTGGTATCCTAGGGGATGACGCTGGGGGAATTGGGTCATCTGCTCCCCCGCCGCATGCGGGCGTATGGAGTGGGGTACGATGGGAGCCCGCTTGGGGTAGTATTTTTTTTTTTTTTTTTTTTTTTTTTTTTTGGGGGGGCTGGGCACCTGCAAGTATCAGGCTGGATATTATTATTATTATTATTATGGGTGCTTTAACGTGGGACTAGGACGGCGGCCCGTGGGCGGCCGTCGGCGCACGCGGATCAGGTCGGAGATCGGGAGGATCACGCAGCCGAGAGCCGAGGTGTTCAGGTAACCGGAAACGCCTGCCCAATATGCGGGCATGAGGAGGGCCGGTGCCTACACGCCAGTCCGAAAGCACCGCATGTTTACGAAATGTGACACGCAAATGACGCAAATGTGGTACCGCGGTCAGATTACTCCACTCTTATTACACCTCCTTTTTGATATTTCAATTTTCGTTTCAACACTTTTCTTTTTCTTGTTTTTGATAAGTTTACCATTAACAAGGTTGATATATCTATACTATTTCTATCACAGTCATATTACTACTAGTATATCAACCTCACATCACAGAAGTCAACTTCAATTCACATTCAATTAAACCTCACATCACACTTCAAGTCAACCTCAACTCACATTCAATTCAACCTCACATCACACTTCAAGTCAACTTCAATTTAACAAATGCTTATAACGGATTCTCAACGGACCGCATATGATGTCATAGAACTCGGCCGCGAGGTGAAGTTAAGTTGAAGTTGCGGTTTTGGCAATTGATATAAAATTGTTATAGTAAAAAATGAATATGAATGTGATAGAATTTGTGCTGTCTAACGGATTCTCAACGGACCGAGAATTGCTCGGATCGCCCACTGTTTCCGCGGGCGGGAGCGCCTGCATGTCGTCGAGGCGGTTTCACCAAGGGCTCCGGGGCGCGGCGGCTACGGGGCGTAGGAGCAAAGCAGCGCGCGCGACCCGCTCGCAAGCACCTTGTGGCGAATCGACTGGCGAATCGACGACGGGACTCCTGCCAGGAGAACGAGTGTCTCCCCCACACGTGCGATCCCCAAACAAAGCTGCGAATTTACACCCCCGTATCCCTAGAGCGTCAGCGGCCCGCGATTTCGGGACGAGTAGCCCTGCTGGGCCTGCTTGATCTGGGCCGGCGCGGTCATGGGGCGGATCTCCTTCCGGCCCTTCTTGCCGCCCGTCTCCTTGTCGAGGAGCCTCATGAAGTCGTTGAACTCCGTCGAGTCGTAGACGACGTGGCCCGTGCCGCAGGGCGGGAGCGACTCCTTGGGGCCGACGTCGTCGCAGTCGCTCTCCGCGTCGCTGTCCGACTCGTCGGCGCCCTCGGCGACCGTGCCCGTCGCCGCGCCCGACTCGGAGTCGAGGGAGCTCCGCCCCCAGGACGACGTCGCGAGCGTCGCCTGGGCCGAGCCCTGGTCGCTCGGCGGCGGCGCGGCCGTCGCCGCGCCCGTGACCTGGTCGACCCAGAACCAGCAGCCGGCCTGGTACGTGAGCTTCCACGAGTGGAGCGCGCAGCCTTCGCGCTGGCTGAAGGTGGACCGCCGCTTCTGCTTGGCGATCTCCGCCATCATCTTCATCTTGTTCTCCGCGCGCTTCATCTCGAGGCGCCGCTCCAGGGGCAGCACGCGCGACGCGAAGTTCAACTGGATCGTGCCCCCGGACGCGCGGAGGCTCTTCGCCAGCGCGTTGGCGCTCCGCTGCTCCTCGCTGACGAACATGGCCTGCTGGACGATGCTCCCGAAGTGCGTGCCCCGCCCGTTGCTTCCCCGGCCGCCGCCGGAGCCGCCGCCGGAGCCCTCGGGCGCGGTCCGCGGCCGCCGGCCGCCGGGGGCCTTGAGGGCGCCGAGCGGGGGGCCCATGCGCACCTTCTGCCGCGGCTTGAGGTGCTCCGGGATCTGGATCGTCCAGATCGACGTGTCCTGCGTCGACACGGACGCGTCGACGTGGCCCGTCACGTACTGCATGCGCGCCTCGTACATCAGCTGGCTCGTCTCTTTCTCCGGATCGCACTTCGTGCGCCGCGACATGGCGCGAGCTTCACCGCGCGACGGCGCCGCGCGCGCGCGGACGGACCGAGGCCACCCGACGGCGCGCCGCGCGACGGCCGCTGAAAGAACCCCGAAGAGCGCTGGGGCGGCGGACTCGGCGGCGGGAGAGCTTTTCAGTGGGGCGCTGGCGCATATAATATATCATAACGCCGAGAAGGTTGCCGTTGAAGTCTCGGCTCGCCCGCGCGCCGCTTGGAGCCTCGTTCCGACGGCGCCAACACTCGCGAGCGCACGAGCGACAGCGCGCTCCAGCTCGGGCCGACCAACCTCGCTCGCAGGTGGAGCCACACAGGTTATTTACGGCGCGCGCCCTTCGCGGGCGCGCGTCGCGAACATCACCAGCGTCGCGAGACGGGCGCGGAGTAGGGGCGGCGCTTGACGGCGTCGCTGTCCAGGATGTTCATGAAGTCGTTGAACTCCGACGAGTCGTAGAACTGGGCGCCCGTGCCCGTGCGGTCGACGCTGTCGAGCGACTCGTCGTCGTCGCTGTCGATGCCGAGCTTCCAGCGGTGGTTGGACATGCGGCGCTCCTTGACGCGGTCGGCGGCCGGGCACCGGCTCGGCCGCGCCTGGAGCACGGCGCGCGCCTCGACGCCGACGGCGCTGGTCTCGTTCTCGTCCGGCGCCTGCGCGGCCGTGGCCTCGCCCGTGTTCTGGTCGACCCAGAACCAGCAGCCCGCCTGGTAGACAAGCTTCAGCACGGGGATCTTCTTCTTCAGCGCGTCGATCTTCTCGCGGCGCTTCTTCTCCTTGGCCAGCACCTTGGCGGCGAGGTCCCGCTTCCGTTCGCCGACGGACCGCATGAACTCGAGCCGCCGGTCCGCGCGCACGGGCATGCGCCGGCCCTTGGGGTCGTTGCCGAGCAGCGCCTGCGCGAAGTTGCGCTGGATCGTGTCGCGGCCCGGGCCCTCGCGGCCCGCGCGCATGTGCTTCCGCTCCTGCACGCCGCGGATGAGCGCGGCGTCGACGACGTCGCCCACGCCGGCGAGCTTCCCGGTGGCGTCGTCGCGCCGGTCCCGGGAATGCTGGAGCAGCGATTTGTAGCTCTGGATGGGCACCTGGCCCCCGTTCTTCCGCCGGGCCGCGGGCGCGGAGCTCGGCCGCCGCTTCACCGTCGGCGACCGGAGCGTCGGGTTCCGGGGCCGCATGTGCTCGGGCTTCTCCAGCGTCCAGACGTGCTTCCGCGGCGCGGCGTTCTCGCGCTTCGTCATGCCCGCCAGCGACCACTCCGGGTCGTAGGTCTCGACGTGGCCCTTGACGTACTGCATGCGGCTCTGGTAGCACAGCTGCTCGGGGCTGTCGAAGACGCCCGAGCTGCGGAACATGGCGCGACGGCGGGGTCGGGGACGCGGCCCGCCGGCGCGGACGCAGCGCGACCGGCGCCCGGGCCTAAGCTAAGAAGCGCGAGCCCAGCCCCGCAGAGCGGGGCGTCCTCGAGAAGTACCGACTATCCTCGTGTCGGGGCTGCTTCAGATGGATACCTGAAAAATCACCTTGGCCTCAGTATCAACACACGCGCAGTCGGTTGGACGAGTTTGGCGCTGCCCGCGCGCGCCGTCGCCGCGGTCTCGACGGTCGCGGCTCGCGTCGCGTGCGCGTCGCCGCCGCCATGCCGGCGGAGGACCTGCCCATCGAGTTGGAGCACGCCATCGGGCTCAGCGCCCTGCGGGGCGGCCTCCACTACCACCCGAATGGGCGCGAGTACCTCTACGCCGCCGGGGCGTCCATCGTCGTCTGCGACTTCGAGGACCCGCACGCGCAGGCCTTCCTCCGGGGCCACGACGACAGCATCACCTGCGTGGCCATGAGCGCCAAGGGCGCGCTCGTCGCGTCGGGGCAGCGCGGCGAGAACGCGGACGCGATCGTATGGGACTACGAGCGCAAGAGCCTGCTGTTCCGGCTGAGCGAGCACGACCACGCCGTGAGCGCTTTGGCGTTCTCCCACGACGAGCTCCTGCTCTGCACGGTAGGCAACGTCGACGACGGCAAGCTCCTCGTCTGGGACATGGCGAACGGCTGCATCGTGACGATGGTGTCCGCGGAGCCGTCGCCGACGGTCTGCGTCGCCTGGGGCGGCTTCGTCAAGGACGTGAAGCGGCGGGACACGCAGGACTACCTCTTCTGCACGGCGGGCGGCAAGAAGCTCAGCCTCTGGTCGTTGAACCCCTACAGCGGCGAGCTGTCGTCGGAGCGCGTGTCCACGGACGGCCGGGGCTGCACGGTGCGCGAGATGACCTGGGTCGAGTTCAGCGAGGACCGGGAGACCATCTACTGCGGCACGACGTCCGGCGATTTTACGTTGGTGAACGTGCGGAAGCGGTCCGCGTCCGGGACGACGGTCTTCGCGAGCCGGAGCGGCGTCGAGTCGCTGCTGGCCAAGCCCGACGGCGGCCTCGTCACGGGCGGCGGCGACGGCACGGTGACGGCCTTCGACGCGAAGCTGCACGACGTCGCCCAGGTCCAGCTGCCCGGCGCCGTCGTCGCGCTCTCGTTCTCGCCGGACCGCGGCGAGCTCATCGCGGGCGTCGCGTCGGGCGCCATCTACCGGCTCCGGGGCGACCTGGGCAAGGCCCTGCTCGTCTGCGAGAACCACGCGCGGCCCGTCGTCGCCGTCGCCTACAGCGCCGACTCGAGCGACAAGTTCGCGACGGCGTCGCTCGACGACACGCTCCGCATCTGGGACGCGAACGACTACAAGGCGTCGGCCCACGTGCACGTCCGCGACGCCGGCGAGCCGACCTGCGTCGTCTACACCCTCGACTTCCTCATCTCGGGCTGGTCCGACGGCAAGATCCGCGCGCACGAGTCGGACACGTCGACGCCGCTCTGGCTCATCGACCACGCGCACCGCGGCGGCGTCTCCGCTTTAGTCCTCGCGAACAACCAGCGCTTCATCATGACGGGCGGCGGCGAGGGCGACGTGCGCGTCTGGGAGCTGCGGAGCCGCGAGCTCGTGTCCCACCTCAAGGAGCACCGGTCCATGGTCACGGGCTTGGCTTTGTACGAGGACGACCTCCACGCGCTCAGCTGCTCGCGGGACCGGAGCTTCCTCTGCTGGGAGCTGCGCAACGAGAAGCGCATGACGTCCCACACGCAGCGCATGGGCGGCATCAACTCCATCGCGCTATCGAAGGACCAGACGAACGTCTTCACGGTCGGGCAGGAGAAGCGGCTCACGCGCTGGGACCTCCGCGACCAGAACTTCCTCGAGGCCGTGGACCTCAGCGACGACCAGTCCGACGAGGCGTCCTGCGTCGCCGTCTCCAACTCCGGGCTCGTCGTCGCCACGGGCGGCACGAAGAAGCTCCTGAAGTTGTACGAGACCGCGCCGGGCCACAAGCTCCTCGCGAGCGTCGTCGGCCACAGCGGCGCCATCCGCGACCTCAAGTTCTCCCCGGACGACAAGCAGCTCGTCACCGTCGGCGAGGACGGCGTCATCTTCGTCTGGAACCTCTACGTCGACTGACCGGCCCGCGGCTCGGTGTGACGCGTAACGGCGGCGATGACGACCGAGGGGGGCGATTACCGAGGGGAGAGGCCGCGCAGGTCCCGACCTAGATCTCGCACCGGCAGCGGAACCCCTTGGCGAAGGCGAAGGCGCCCGGCGTCCTGAGCTCCTCCTCCGTCGGCGGGTCGCACTTGCAGAGCGCGGGCCGCGGGCCGACGAGCTTGGCGATCTCGTGGAGGTAGGTCGCGAGGATCTTCGGCGCGTTGCGCAGGTTCGTCCGGTCCCACTTCTCGTTCTGCGCGTGCGCGCCGTCGTTGGACGCGGACGTCGGCAGCAAGACGACGTTGATCTTCGTCGCGGACTCGAGCCAGTTGGCGATGGGGATGGAGCCGCCCTCGCGCGTCAGGTCCGGCTTCTTGCCGAAGACGCGCTCGACCGCGCGCGCCGCGGCGACGTAGTTCGGGTTCTCCGTCTTCGAGACCCAGGCCGGCCCGCCGTGGATCATCTCGACCTTCAGGGGGTACTTGGACCCGACGACGTTTTGCCACTGGTCCTCGAGGTGGGCCTTGACGAGTCGGCCCGTCGACTCCGGGTCCATGTCGGGCACCAGGCGGATGGAGAACTTGCCCGCGACGCGCCGCGGCAGCACCGTCTTCGCGCCGGGGTCCGCGAAGGCGCCCTCGACGCCGTGGATCGACAGCGTCGGGAAGCGCCAGCGGGCCATGAGCACCTGCTCCTTCGTCGCCCCCTCGAGCGCGCAGCCCGGCGACACGTCCTCGCGGTGGTACGTGTCCACGTCGAAGTCCAAATCCTTGTACGTCGCGCGCTCCTCGTCCGTCACCGGCGGCACGGCGTCCAGCAGCCCGGGCACGCGGATGCGCTCGTGGTGGAGGCCGCCGGCCTTGGGCGGCGCGCGCAGCGTGCCCAGCAGGTGGATCAGATCGTTGAGCGGCTCGTGCACGGAGCCGCCGTAGACGCCCGAGTGGAGGTCGGACTTGCCGCCCTCGACGACGCACTCGAAGTAGGCCATGCCACGCAACCCGTAGGTGAGACAGGGCGTCGTCTTCGACAGCCACTGGTTGTCCGACACGACGAAGTGGTCCACGTCGGCGAGCCAGCCCGCGTCCTTGAAGTCGAGCGTGACCTCCTGCTTTTTGGCGTCGACGCGCTTCGCCGGCGGCCGCGCCTCGGAGGCGATGAACTCGGGGATGCCCACGGAGCCGTACTCCTCCATGCCCTCGTAGAGCAGCTTCAGGCGCACGGGCAGCTTGAGGCCCAGCTTCCGGTGCGCCTCGACGGCCCAGAGCCAGGACAGCGCCGGGCCCTTGTCGTCGGACGCGCCGCGGCCGCAGAGCCGGCCGTCGTCCGTCTCCGTGAGCTCGAAGGGCTCCGTGTCCCAGCCGTCGGCCTTCTTCGCGGGCTGCACGTCGAGATGGCCGTAGGCGCAGACCGTGCGGACCTGCGAGGGGGGCGCGTGGGGCGACCGCCTTTTATGCGCTCGACGCCGGCGAGCGTGGGGCGCCCGCCTTTGAGGGTTATAAGTAGGGCGCCCGCCTTCGGCGCTCGACGCCGGCGCGCGCCTGCTCGTTCGGGATTTGGGTCTCGCAGTCGAAGGTCACGAGCAGCATCGGCGGCAGCGTGTCGTCCTCGCCCTTCTTCGGGTTCTCGACGAGGCGCGCCTCGCTGCAGCCGAGCTTCTCCGCCCAGGCCTTGGTCCACTCGATCATCTCGACGATCTTCGGCCGGTGGTCGACCCACGCGGACACGCCCTTGATGCCTACGGCCTCGCGGAGCCGGCTGATATAAATCTCCTCGCGCATGTCCACGAGGTCGTAGAGCGGCTGGAGGTCCACGGCCTTGGGCAGCTCGCGCAGGTTCGTCCACTCGAGCATCTCCTCGATGGTCGGCGCGCTCCCGCTCGGCGGCAGCGGCGGCGCGCCCATGGACTTGGCCTTTTGCAGGGGCGTGAAGCCCTCCTTTTGCGACGCCGCCTTCATCGTTGTCGACGGTGCGCGCGCGTCGACGAACGTCGAGTGCTGCCGGTCCGGCTCTTGGGGTTTTGCCTGGAAAAATGGCGATCGAGTGCGGTTGAAGATCCGCGCGGTCCGTTGCGCGCCTCGAGACGAGGCGGTCAAAATAAAGAGCACACGCGCGTCTACAGGCGCCGCTTTCGCACGGTGGATTCTGCGGTCGTCGTCGCGGCGCCGCGGGCGACGGCGTGGCGGACCGCGCGCGGCATGTACGTGTCACGAAAGCCGGAGACTCCCGGAGCAAGCAAGGTAGGGTCCAAGGTCATTATTGTGGGAAAGGCCGCGGGGGGGGAGCGCCGCGGGGGGGGGCTGGTGCGTCGGTTTCGACGGCGCCGCGCCGGCTTGGTGGCGGGCGGGGTGTGGGGCGCGGCCGGCGAGTCGAGCCGCGCCGGTTCGCGGCGTGACTCGGCGTTCCTACTGGAGCGTCTTCGCCTTCTCGATGACGTCGTCGATGCCGCCGACCATGTAGAAGGCGGCCTCGGGGAGGTCGTCGTAGTCGCCCGTGAGGACGTCGTTGAAGGCCTTGATGGAGTCCTCGAGCTGGACGAACTTGCCCGGGAAGCCCGTGAAGATCTCCGCGACGGAGAAGGGCTGCGAGAGGAACTTGGAGACCTTGCGCGCGCGGGCGACCGTGACCTTGTCGTCCTCGCTCAACTCGTCCATGCCGAGGATGGCGATGATGTCCTGGAGCGACTTGTAGTCCTGGAGGAGCTTCTGCACGCTGCGCGCGACGCCGTAGTGCTCCTCGCCGACGATGCGCGGGTCCATCATGCGGCTCGAGCTGTCGAGGGGGTCGACGGCGGGGTAGATGCCCAGGGACGCGATGTCGCGGGAGAGCACGGTCTGCGCGTCGAGGTGCGCGAACGTCGTCGCGGGCGCGGGGTCCGTGAGGTCGTCCGCGGGCACGTAGACGGCCTGCACGGACGTGATGGAGCCCTTCGTCGTCGACGTGATGCGCTCCTGGAGGCCGCCCATGTCCGTGGCGAGCGTCGGCTGGTAGCCGACGGCCGAGGGGATGCGGCCGAGCAAGGCGGACACCTCCGCGCCCGCCTGCGTGAAGCGGAAGATGTTGTCGACGAAGAAGAGCACGTCCTGGCCCTCCTCGTCGCGGAAGTACTCCGCGATGGTGAGGCCCGTGAGGGCGACGCGCGCGCGCGCGCCCGGGGGCTCGTTCATCTGGCCGTAGACGAGCGCGGCCTTGGAGCCCGTCGTGTCGTGGCCGTCGCCGATCTTGATGACGCCGGACTCGATCATCTCGTGGTAGAGGTCGTTGCCCTCGCGCGTGCGCTCGCCGACGCCGGCGAAGACGGAGTAGCCGCCGTGGTTCGTCGCGATGTTGTTGATGAGCTCCATGATGACGACGGTCTTGCCGACGCCCGCGCCGCCGAAGAGGCCGATCTTGCCGCCCTTGGCGTAGGGCGCGAGCAAATCCACGACCTTGATGCCCGTCGTGAGGATCTCCTGGGTCTTGCCCTGCTCCACGAAGGTCGGCGGCGCGCGGTGGATGGGGAACTGGATCTTCGTCTTCACGGGGCCCGCGTCGTCGACGGCCTCGCCGATGACGTTCACGATGCGGCCGAGGCACTCGGGGCCCACGGGGATGGTGATGGGCGCGCCGCAGTCCACGAACTCCTGGCCGCGCACGAGGCCCTCCGTGGCGTCCATGGCGATCGTGCGCACCGTGTTCTCGCCGAGGTGCTGCGCGACCTCGAGCACGAGGCGCTCGCCGTTCATCGTCGTCTCGAGCGCGTTCAGGATGGGGGGGAGTTTGCCCGAGAACTGGACGTCCACGACGGCGCCGATGACGGACACGACGGCGCCCTACGGAGCCATGGCGTGAGCGGGGGGCGTCCGGGGCCCCGGGGAAACGCGCGTCGCGGAAAAGCTGCCCCGTTCAACATCGAAGCCGCCGCCCCCCCCGCCCCGCGGGCCGCGCCGCGCGCCCCCGTCGTCGCCCCCCGGACGTCGGGACGCACCTTGTTCGACGCCGTGCTGAGGGTGCGGGCCGCGGCCCGGCTCGCGCGCATCGTCGTCGGCAGCATGTTGTCGACGGCGCTCGTCCACCAGCGATTGCGATAGCCGCAAGCTCGAGCGTGTCGGGGGATCGGACAAAAGATGCGCTAATCTCCACAGGCCGCCTGCGCCGCCGACTCGGAGCGGCGCGTACAGCGTGCACAACTCTCAGAACTCAGGCGTGAAGATGCCGCTGAACCGCTGAAACAAAACGCAGCCATAGAGCCGCAAAACACTCTCAGCGAGCATAATTGCCACTGAACCCGCACTCTCGTCGCAGCTCGTCTGTAAATTAACACGCTATGCCCTGGCAGCTGCAAAACCTCTGCGTCGTCGCCTACTGGAGCTTGATCACGCACGTCGTCTACCTGGCGCACGTCGCGGCGACGGAGCACTACAGCGACCAGTCGAAGTGCGTGTTCAAGTACTTTAACGTCCGCTACGACTTCACGAGCGTCCACCCGCTCCTGTTGGAGTGGGTCCACACCTTCGAGACGGCCTTCGTCATGGGCCTGGCCGCCCACGCCTGCGGCGGCCGCGCCGCGGCGGTCGGGTGTGCTGTGGCGGCTGCGTTCGGTTTGCTCGGCTGCTGCCGCGTGGCCTGCAAGGACGCGACCACCCGACTCTTCGGCCGCCGCGCGCGCGCGGGCGCGCTCATCGCCGCGGGCCTCGCGCTCGCGCCGCCCGCGCTCGACGCGGCCGTCGCGCGCGCGGCGCTGCTCACCGCCCACGCGCACGCGATCGTCGCCCCCTCGAACGCGGCCGCGCGCCTCCTCGCCGTCGACGGCGCGGAGCGCGGCGCGGCCGTGCTCCTCGCGCTCCACGCCGCGGCGCTCGCGCTCGGCGACGCGGCGCTCCGGCGGCCGGGCGCGGGCCTCGCGGTCCTCTCCGCGGCGTTCGTCGGCGTCGCGCGCGAGGTCGCGCTCGCCTGCGACCGCCGCTGGCCGCGCGCCCGCGCGCCGACCCTCCGCGGCGCCGGCGCGACCCACGCGCTCGCGGACCTGTTCCCGCCGACGCCCCTCGACGCCGCGCTGCCGAGGCGCGGCGACGGCGGCGACGAGCAGGAGGAGGCGGGGCTGGTGTAATCTTGCGTGTTTTCCTCTACAACGCGGCGCGCCTGCACGGAGTTGCGCAGGAGCACTGTGAGGCTACCGTGACGCGATGCGCATGCGCGCTAGCAAGTGCGCTAGCGACGCGCGCAAGGTGGCGCCGATGTTGTCGATCCGTTGCAGCCGGACCGAGTGCTCGACCTGGCGCGCGGCTCCGCTGTCGCGCGCGCGCACCACACCGTCGCGCGCGCCCCACCCGTGCAGCACAATGGCGAAGAAGCGCGCGAAGAAGCGCTCGACGAAGAAGCGCGAGCAACCCGCGCAATTCGCGGCGCCGCTGGCCGTCAGCGCCGCGCTGGCGCAGCTCTTGCGACCGCACTGCGAGCCGCCGGTCGCCGCGAGCCGGCCGCTGCACCTGCCGCGCTCCGAGGTCACGAAGGTGCTCTGGCGCTACATCAAGGCGAAGCACCTCCAGGACCCGAGCGACGGCCGCCGCGTTTTGTTTACCGGCGACCCCATGGGCGCCGTCCTCTCCGCGGGCTCCGCGGGCATGACCGACATGCCGCGCCTCTTGACGCCCCACCTGCGCAGCATCTCGGCGTCGTCGTCGGCGCGCGCGTCGTCGGCGGCGGGCGCGTCGTCGTCGGCGGGCGCGTCAGCGGCCCCCGCCGCCGCCGACGGCCCGCCGCTCGAGCCGTCGCCCGCGTTCGCGCAACTCCTGGCGACGCTCGAGGCCACGGCGCCCACGCGGGTCACGCGCAAGGCGGCCCTGCGCGCCGTCGGCCGCTACGCCGCCGCGCGGCACCTGCGCGACGGCTGCACCATCCGCTGCAACAGCCGCCTCAAAGCGCTCTTCTTCGGCCGCGACGAGGCCCTCGCGGGCACCGGCGCCGGCGCCCGCGCGGGCGGCGGTCCCGCGACCGCCGCGGCCCCCCACGCCGCCCTACATCCCGCCGCCGCGCGCCCCAATCGACGACGACGACGAGGCGTCGCTCGCGCTCGCGCGGCGGCTCCAGGCCGAGGAGGAGCGGCTCGCGCGGCCCGCGCCCCCCGCCGAGTCGCGGCGCGCGGGCATCTTCGAGCTCCTCGACGGCGACGACGACGTCGCCGCCGCCGAGCCTCCGCGGCTCGAGGCTCCGCGGCCGCCCGCGCGCCGCGGCCCGTCGCCGCCGCCGCCGGTCGCCGCGCCGCCGCTGGCCGCCGCGCCGCCGCCGCCCGACGAGGGCGCCGCGAGTCCCGGCGACGCCTGCACGATCTGCTTGGACAGCGCGAAGAACACCGTCCTCGTGCCCTGCGGGCACATGTGCGCGTGCCTGTCGTGCGCGAAGCTCCTGGTTGGTCGCGGTGCCGCGCGGTGTCCGATATGCCGCACGGGCGTGTCCTCCGTCGTCCGCGTCTTCCAGTCGTAGCTGAGTAACTTAGAGCATGCGCGCGCGGGGAACTTGACGCGGCGCCTAGTAGCGGGGGGGCGGCTGGCCGTAGGGCGGCGGCTGCTGGCCGTACTGGGGCGGCGGCTGCTGGCCGTACTGGGGCGGCGGCTGCTGGCCGTACTGGGGCGGCGGCGCGCCGTATTGGGGCGGCGGCTGCTGGCCGTATTGGGGCGGCGGCGCGCCGTACTGCTGGGGCGGCGGCGCGCCGTACTGGGGCGCGCCGTACTGGGGCGGCGGCGCGCCGTACTGCTGGGGCGGCGGCGCGCCGTACTGGGGCTGGCCGTACTGCGGCGGCGGCCGCGGCGCGCCGTAGGGCTGCTGGGGCTGCTGGTAGTGCTGCGGGGGCGGCGGCTGCTGGTAGTGCTGCGGGGGCGACTGCGCGTAGTGGGGCGGCTGGGGCGGCTGGTGGTAGGCCGGCTGGGCCTGCTGGGGCGCGCCGCCCCAGCCCGAGGGCGCCGCGGGCCGCGCCGCGACGGGCACCGGCGCGGGCATCGCGGGCCGCGCCGCGGGGAGCGGCACCTGGAACTGCATGCCCGGGCCGACGCCCTGGGGCACGATGACCTTGAGGCGCGCGCCGCTGGGCGCCTGGACGACGATCTGCATGCCCGGGTAGACGCCCCCCGGCACGGTCACGGCCATCATCTGCGGGCGCGCGACGGGCACGGCCGCGGCCGCGGGCTGCGCGTACTGGGGCACGTGCGCGGGGCTCGGCGGCGGCGTCGGCAGCTCGTCGTTCTCGGCGTCGTCCGCGGCCATGGGCGCGATCTCGACCTCGTCGGGCGTGTCCTCGGGGATCTCGATGGGCGCGTCCGGGTCCGCGAGCGCGTCCGGCAGCGACACCCAGGCCATGGCGACGCGCTTGTAGTTGCCGCTGCACTCGCTCTTGAGCGAGTCCTTGAGGTGCTTGCCGTACTTCTCGTGGTAGCGCTTCGCGATGGCGAGCACGTCGGCCTTGTCGTGGCCGCCGAGCACGCGGCAGACGACGCGGTCCGACGTGCCCAGGCCCTTGAAGGCCTCCTTGAGCCGCTTCGCGTAGTAGTCCGCCGGCGGCAGCAGCAGCGCGAGCATGCACTTCTTGAGGTTGCCGCTCATCTCGCGCTCGATGAGCGACTCGAGCGACTTGTTGTGCTTCTTCTCGTACGCGGACCGGACCGCGCGGTTCTGCTTCGGCGAGTTCTTCGCGAGGACCTGGATGAAGGCGTTCGTGTCCGTGCCCCAGCCCTTGGCGCCCGCGGCGAGCTGGTCCGCCTGGTTCGCGGCGAGCTTCTCGTCGGCCTTGCCGCACTCGTCGCGCTCGCCCTTCAAAAGCTCGAGCGCGAGCGTCTCGTTCGCGCCGTGCAGCTCGGAGCGGATGCGGTCCACGAGCGACTTGTCGTGGCGGCCCTCCCACTTGGCCTTGGCCGCGCGGACGCGCGCCTGGCTGTTGCCGACGAGGAACTCGATGAGCGCGACGCCGTCCGCGCCGAGGCCGTCCATGGCCGCGTCGAGCTGGCGCACGTCGCCGTCCTCGGGCGACGAGATGAGGTAGGTGAGGAAGAGCTTGTACCAGCCCGACGTCTCGGACCGGAGCCGGTTGAGCATGGGCTTGTCGCGCTGGTCGTAGTACGCGGCCGCGACGTCCTGGAGGTGCGGCTTCGACCGCGACGCGAGAAGCGCGATGAGCTTCCCGTCGGACGTGCCCCAGCCGTGGCAGCTGTTGTAGACCTCCTGGGCGTCGATGGTCGCCATCATCGCGCTCACGGAGTCGTTCTCCACGACGAGGTCGTCGAGCAGCTCGCCGAGGTCCGCGCACGTCTCCACGTCGACGGCGCACTTGGCCTCGAGGGGCTGCGCCGGGTCCTGGAGCGCCTGGATCCAGGCGAGGGACGCCTTCAAGAAGTTGCCGCTGATCTCCGACTTGAGCGCGTCGCGGAGCGTCCGCGTGTACTTGCGCTGGTACCTGGGCAGGAAAAGGGTGCGAAATTCCCAACTTCAAAGGCTCCTATCTCGGTCGTTTTCCGCTCGTTTCGGCTGATTTTTGGACGAGCGATCATCTCTCGGAGTGCTCTCGAAGCGTGGGTGCTATTTCCGAAACGCGCGCGCGCGGAACACTCACGTTGAAGCGACGTTGAATCACCCTTTTCCTGCCCTGGCTGGTACGCGGCCACCACCGCCGGCATCGACGGCCGCGAGTCGTGGTCGAGGCCGCCGAGGAGGCGCACGAGCACCTTCTCGTCCGTGCCCCAGCCCTTCATGGCCGTCTCCAGGCGCATGGCCAGGAACTCCTCGGGCGTCACCAACAGCGCGCAGAGCGCGAGGTGGAACTTCTTGCCGCACTTCGCCTCGAGCGCCTTCTTGAGCGACTTGCCGTACTTTTTTTCGTAGAGGTCGGCGCAGAGGGCCGCCTCCGCCGGCGGGCCCGCGAGCAGGTAGTCGACGACCTTGTCCTCCTTGAAGTCCTGCATCATGCCCTTGGCGCACTCCTTGTGGAGCAGCTCGACGTGCTTGTTCGCGCGCGCCTCGTCGGGCACGCCGTCCCAGATGCGCTTGCCCTTCAAGATCTCGAGGATGAGGTAGCGCAGGTGGCGGTAGGAGTGGCCGAGCTCCTTGTTGATGTAGTCGAAGAGGCCCCGGTCGCGCCGGCCCTCCCAGCACTTCTTGCCCGCCGCGAGCTGCTCCGGGCTCCTCGTGAGGCACAGCTCGATGAGCGCCTCCTCGTCGCAGCCCATGCCGTGGCAGGCCGCGTGGATGACGTCGGCGACGTAGTTCTCGGGCGTCGACAGCGCGTAGGACATCATGCGGCCGTAGTCGGACCCCGTGAACCAGCCCTTGGTCTCGCCCTTGACGTCCTTGGCCAGGTCCTTGTCGTACTTGGCGCGGTAGGCCACCTTCGTGCGCTCGAGGGACGCCTTCGTGCGCGTGCAGAGCGCGGCGATGAGCTTGCGGTCGTCGCAGCCGATGCCCGTGAGCCCCGGGTTCATCGCCTCGTACGAGCTCAGCGCGTCCGACTCCGCGATGCGCGTCTTGAGCATGGCGTTGATCTTCTGGAGCCGCGTGCAACACTCCTTGAGCACCGCCGGGTCGTCGAGCTCGCCCTTGGCCTCGACGATGCGGGCCACGGTCGTGTTCGCCAGGCGCGACGCCTCGTCGGCCATGATCTGCGGGGCGTCGGCGACGGGCGCCATGTGTTCGTTTTTCGGGGGCGGTCCTTCGCTGGTTCGGGGCGGTCGAGGGCGACGGCGAGGCGGGAGTTTGAGCGAACGCGCGTCGGACGGCGACGAGGAACGCTAAGAGAACGCTAAGAGAATGCCGCGGCGGAGATGCTTGGCTCCGCGAAGCCGCACTTTTCGATGCCCGGCGCGGCCGCGATCGCGAGCCTGTGTTGCCACAAAATTTGTTTGCAACACAGCTCGGTTGAGCTTGCCTCGCTCTCGGTCACGCTTGAAGGAGGATGGCACCTGGCCGTAAGTCGCCTTGAGCAATCGCAGACACCGCGCACCTGCTCCACCAACGTCCTCACTTGCATACGACACGATGGCCGAGCTGGAAAATGCAAGCGCCGCAGCCAAGAGCGTCGAATCGGCGACGACCGCCGCCACCGCAAGCGAGCCCGGCGACGACGGCACGCAACCAAAGAAAACGTCGTCCATCGTCTTCGCGACGCGGTTCCAGGGCCAGGAGCTCGTGCTCGACGGCCTCCAGTCGGACGCGAACGTCGGCGACCTCAAGGCGCTGCTCGAGGACGAGACGGCCGTGCCCGCGAAGCGCCAGAAGCTCATCGGCCTCTGCAAGGGGCGGTTGCCGAGCGACGAGCAGCCCCTGTCGTCCCTGGGCCTGCGCGGCGGGCCGCCCTTCCGCTTCACGCTCATGGGCACGCCCGACGACAAGCTCTTCGTCGACCCGTGCGACCGCGACGACCTGCCCGAGGTCGTCGACGATTTGGACGTCGACGCGGACTTCGAGCTCCTGTCGGCGCGGTGGCACCGGAGCCGGCGCAACGCGGCCCAGCTCGCCAAGTTCACGGCGTCGACGACCATCAACTGGATCGCGCCGCGGCGCCCGGGCAAGCACCTCCTCGTGCTCGACCTCGACCACACGCTCCTCGACTTCTCGCGGCGCGACGAGGCGCCGCTCGCGGCGGCGAAGCGGCCCCACCTCGACGCCTTCCTCCGGTCGTCCTACGAGCACTACGACCTCGTGATCTGGTCCCAGACGTCCTGGCGCTGGCTCGAGGTGAAGCTCACGGAGCTCGGGCTCCTCGCGTCGCCGCACTTCAAGATCTGCTTCGTGTTAGACAAGACGTCCATGTTCTCCATCATCTCGCGGAAGCGCGACGGCTCCGAGTTCAAGCACGCCGTCAAGCCCCTCCAGCTCATCTGGGCGAAGGAAGCCGCCTGGTCCGCGGCGAACACGGTCCACGTCGACGACCTCAGCCGCAACTTCGCGCTCAACCCCAAGAGCGGCCTCAAGTGCCGCGCGTACCACCGGTCCGCGCCCGACGCGGCGGGCGACGTCGAGCTGCCCCTGCTGGCGGCCTACCTCGCCCACGTCGCGACGGCCGCGGGCGGGCCGGGCGCGCACGACCACGGCGCCTGGCGCAAGCGCGCCGCGTCGCTCTGCTCGCGGGCGTCTTCGAATTCGTCGTCGTAAGTGCGGTTTTTGGGAGCATGTATCCCTGGAGACCTGGGGGTTCGCTGGCCGACACGGTAGTTTAGGCTGTTAACTTGGGGCGGGGAGCCTGGGGTGCAAAAAGGCCGCCCCGGAGGGCGGACGGGGACTTGGGACTTGCGCGCGTCGGCGGGGAACGCGGCTTCGCGGCGGCGGGGCTCTAGCCCATCATGTCGTCGCCCTCCTCGTCCTCGTCGAACTCGCCCTCCTCCTCGGCGGTCGCGTCCTGGTACTGCTGGTACTCGGAGACGAGGTCGTTCATGTTGGACTCGGCCTCCGTGAACTCCATCTCGTCCATGCCCTCGCCCGTGTACCAGTGGAGGAACGCCTTGCGGCGGAACATGGCCGTGAACTGCTCGGCCACGCGCTTCCACGTCTCCTGGATGGCCGTGGAGTTGCCGATGAACGTCGTCGACATCTTGAGGCCCTTGGGCGGGATGTCGCAGATCGCGGACTTGACGTTGTTCGGGATCCACTCGACGAAGTAGGACGAGTTCTTGTTGATGACGTTGAGCATCTGCTCGTCGACCTCCTTGGTCGACATGCGGCCGCGGAAGAGGCACGAGCACGTGAGGTAGCGGCCGTGGCGGGGGTCCGCGGCGCACATCATGTTCTTCGCGTCGAACTGCTGCTGCGTGAGCTCCGGCACCGTGAGGGCGCGGTACTGCTGGGAGCCGCGCGACGTGAGGGGCGCGAAGCCGACCATGAAGAAGTGGAGGCGGGGGAACGGGACCATGTTGACCGCGAGCTTGCGGAGGTCGCAGTTGAGCTGGCCGGGGAAGCGCAGGGAGCACGTCGTGCCGCAGAGGGCCGCCGCGATGAGGTGGTTGAGGTCGCCGTAGGTCGGCGTCGTGAGCTTGAGCGTGCGGAAGCAGATGTCGTAGAGGGCCTCGTTGTCGAGCGTGAAGCACTGGTCCGAGTTCTCGACGAGCTGGTGCACGGAGAGGGTCGCGTTGTAGGGCTCGACGACCGTGTCGGAGACCTTGGGCGAGGGGATCACCGAGTAGGTCGACATGACGCGGTCGGGGTACTCCTCGCGGATCTTGGAGATGAGGAGCGTGCCCATGCCCGCGCCCGTGCCGCCGCCCATGGAGTGCGTGAGCTGGAAGCCCTGGAGGCAGTCGCAGGACTCGGCCTCCTTGCGGACGACGTCGAGGACGGAGTCGATGAGCTCGGCGCCCTCCGTGTAGTGGCCCTTGGCCCAGTTGTTGCCCGCGCCCGTCTGGCCGAAGACGAAGTTGTCGGGGCGGAAGAGCTGGCCGAAGGGGCCCGCGCGGACGGAGTCCATGGTGCCGGGCTCGAGGTCCATGAGGATCGCGCGGGGCACGTAGCGGCCGCCCGTGGCCTCGTTGTAGTACACGTTGATGCGCTCGAGCTGGAGGTCCGAGTCGCCGTGGTACGTGCCCGTGGGGTCGACGCCGTGCTCGTCGGAGATGACCTCCCAGAACTTGGCGCCGATCTGGTTGCCGCACTGGCCTCCCTGGATGTGGACGATCTCGCGCATGGTGCTAGTGGTGTGTGTTTACGAGTAACGACGAGTGGATCGAGCGCTAGCTGAACTGAATGAATGGCCGCTGCGCCGGGCTGCGGATACGCGCGGGGCTGCGGGTTTGCATCGTCTAGTCGATAACGACGGCTCGCGTCGAGGCAAACATCGCGTCGCTGAAGGATCGAGCCGCTTGCACGCTGCCACCCGCGTCGTCACAGCAGCAGCCATGGCCCTCATGTCCAAGCTCGTCCTCGCCTCCGCCGTCGCGTCGACGGCGGCCTTCGCCCCGTCGTCGTCGGCGCGCGCGTCGACGGCGCTCGCCGCGCGCCAGCCCATCATCGCCGGCAACTGGTAGCCGCCGCCGCGTCAGCGAGCGCCGCGCGCGCCCCCCACCCATGCACGCCCCCCCGCAGGAAGCTGAACCCGCCGACCGTCGAGGACGCCAACGCGCTCGCCAAGGCCGTCGCGGAGCTCATGGGCGACGAGACCTGCGCCGTCGACGGCGACGGCGACATGTGCACCGAGGTCGTCGTCTTCCCGCCCTACCCGTTCCTCGGGTCCGTCGTCGAGGACCTGGCGGACGTGGGCATCGGCGTCGGCGCCCAGTCCGTCTTCGCCGAGGCCGAGTCCGGCGCCTTCACGGGCGCCGTGTCCACGGCCATGGTCGAGTCCATGGGCTGCGAGTACGTGCTCTGCGGCCACAGCGAGCGCCGCACGGTCTTCAAGGACGACGACGCGGCGGTGAACAAGAAGGTGCTCCGGGTCTACGAGGACGGCCTCAAGCCCGTGCTCTGCATCGGCGAGACCAAGGAGGAGTACGAGGCGGGCCTCTGCGAGGACGTGTGCAAGGTCCAGCTCGCCAAGGATCTGGCCGGCGTGTCCAAGGAGCAGGCCATGGACCTCGTCATCGCCTACGAGCCCGTCTGGGCCATCGGCACGGGCTTGGTGTGCCCGTCGGACGTCGCCCAGAGCGTCCACAAGACGGTCCGCGCGTTCCTCGCCGAGCTCTACGACCAGGCCGTGGCGGACGCCGTCCGCATCCAGTACGGCGGCTCCGTGACGCCCGAGTCCGTCGACGAGCTCATGTCCATGCCCGACATCGACGGCTGCCTCGTCGGCGGCGCGTCCCTCGTCGCCGAGAAGTTCGCCCGCATCTGCAACTACGTCCGCGCTTAGGAGCCCGCGGCGCGGACGGCCGCGCGGCGCCGCGCCCTCGCGGCGCGACGCGGTCGGATAATCGGACTGGTATCGCTCGAGGCGCGGTGTCTGCCTGCAGCTTCGCAGTGGCCCGGGAGCTCTCCGGATGTCTAAAAGCGCAGGTGTACTTCAACGTGAGCCTGAGCTCACGTTGAAGCGATTCCAGGAAGGCGCAGAATGGGCTGCCCGTAAAACTTAAGAGCCGAAGCGTAACTGTGCAACGCGGAGAGCACTTCCCCTAGAAACATTCGCGCCGCCGCTCGCGCGGGAAGCATGACCACCGCGCACGACGAGGACAAGCCGCACGCCGACGGCGACGGCGACGGCGACGAGTCGTCGTCGGTCATCACCCTGGCCGACGGCGACGGCGAGGAGTGCAGCACGCTCACCGCGTCGTGGACGGCGGGCCTGGGCCGCCTGCTGTCCCGCTTCCGCCGCGCCGAGGCCGCGTCGCGCGGCGGCGGCGGCGGCGGCGACGGCGACGGCGCCGACGAGACGGCCTCGGAGCGCGAGGCGGAGGACCTGCGCGCCGCGCTCGCCGAGAGCCGGCGCGAGAACGGCCGGCTGCAGGCGCAGAACAAGCTGCTCGCCGCGCGCCTCGCCGCCGTGGAGAAGACGCTGCGCGACGAGCGCGACGCCGCGCGGCCCGAGCGCGAGGAGATCATCAAGAGCAACGACTCGCTGCGCCAGGTCGCCATGTCCGCGACGGAGCGGTCCGAGATGGCGGAGCGGCGCGCCCGCTACATGCGGCGGCACGTCACGGAGCAGCTCGTCGCGCGGCCGCGGAGCCGCTCCCGGCGCCCGCGGTCCGCGGCGGAGCGGCGCCGGGACACGCGCGCGCTGGAGGAGCGCGTCCGCGCGCTCGAGTCGCGGCTCCACAGCGCGGACGACGAGACGCGCACCGTGCTCTGGCGCAAGGGCTTCAGCTAACTTGATTCCGGCCCACTTAAGCTAGCGTCCTCGAGCGCGAGCGCCGGCGGCCGCGGCGCTCGCGTCGACGGGCGGCGCCGCGCTCGCGTCGCCTCCGTCGTGCGCGCCGCGCGCCGTCGTCGCTCCCGTCGAAAGCGCGCGCCTCCTCGCGTCTCTTAGGCTGGGTCCTTCTTGACGGCGACCTTCTTCTTCCGTTTGACGCACGTTTCGCAGATTCGGATCGCGCAGCCGTGGGCGTCCTTGACGCAGATGATCTTCGCCTGCGACGCGGGCGTGTGACTGTCGCGGGCGCGCGGCGCCGCCCAACTGACCGACGCGCGGAGACAGACGCGGGACCGCGCGGAGGAAAGGAGGAGCTGCTGGTGACAGTAAAAGCAGAGCGTGTGGTCCGCAGCCCGCGTGTCGTGGTTCGTCTGCCCCTTGGCCGCGCCCATGGTGCCAGCGTGCCCCCAGCGACGCCGGACGCCCCGCGACGACGCTGCCGGCACTCTCCGGCGGCCACCTCCCTGAGCAAGACGCGCTGTGGGTTCAACGAAAGAGGCAAGTTGGGGCGCGCTAAAAGATGGCAGCCATGACTGATCCTCCGCAGCCATGATCTCCGCAATGATTCCTCGACGAGGAGCCCTCGCGGCGTTCCTCGCGCTCGGGCAAGCAACACCGTCGAGCGGTGCGCGCCTGCAAAGCTCCTGCGCGTCGACGCCGCTGCACCAGCGCCTGGGCAGCGCGCTGCGAGAGCAGCGGACCAACGTCGCCTTCCTGCGGCACGCGAACACGGGCAAAGCTGCGAGCGACATGGATCGACAGCTGACGCAGCTCGGCCGCGAGCAGGCGCGCGAGTCCGGCGCGGCGTTCGGACGCGAGCTCCTGCCGCTCGCGCCGACGGCGCTCAGCTCGCCCGCGCCGCGCTGCAACGAGACGCTCCGGCTGTTCCTCGACGCGGCCGGCGCGGCGCCCGAGGTGAGGTTCGTCGCGGAGCTCTACGACGGCACGATCCAGCCGGGCGGCTCCGCGGCGTTCGCCGAGCTCGGCTACGCGCCCCTGCGAGAATACCACGCCGCGGGCCATCGCGAGACGTTCGAAGCGTACGCGGCCTCCGCGGCGGAGGCGATCGAAGCGGCCGTCCGCGAAAGCCGCGACGACACGCTCCTCGTCTGCGCGCACGCGGTCTACATCCCGTCCGCCGCGTTGTTCGTCGCGGAGGCCCTCGGCGCGTCGCGAGCCGGCGTCGGCGCCATCCTCGACTGCAACACGCAGGAGGCCGAGGGCTACCTCATCACCCACGCGGGCGACGTCTCCCTCCTCACGCGCGAAAGGCCTTAAAAGATCTTGCGCCGCCGGGGAAAGACCGGCGGCGCCTCCCGCGACGGCGACGGCGACGGCGGCGCCTCCCGCGACGGCGGCGGCGACGGCGGCGCCTCCCGCGACGGCGCCGGCTCTGGCGGCTCCCGCTCCTCGAGCCAGCCGCGGAACGCCGCATCCCAGGGGCCGTCGCCGTCGCCGCCGCGGGCGTCGCGGAGCGCGTCGGGCACGCCGAGCGCGCGCGCGGCGGCGGCGCAGACGTCGGGCTGGGCCCGCCGGACCGCGCCGAGCCTCAGCAGGAGCACGGCCAGCGGCGCGCGCTGCTCGCCGGCCTCCTCGGCGTCGAGGTCGCCGCGGGTCCTCGGCCGGAGCAGGCGCCGCAGCGCGCGCGCGCGCCGCGGCGCGCCCGCGGCGTCGTCGCGGCGGCAGAGCGCCTCGACGGCGCGCGCCGCGCCCGCGACCGCCGCGTCGGCGGCGGCGGCGGCGAGCACGGCCGCCGCCGCGTCGCGCATGTCCGCGTGGACCGCGGCGGCGAGCGCGGCGTCGTAGCGCAGCGCGCCGTCCTGCGCGTCGAGGAAGGCGAGCGCGCGCGCCTCGGTCCAGTCCCGGGGCCCCGACCCGCCCTTCGGGAACGACACGTCGCCGAAGAGGCCCGGGCTCGTCGCGTGGGCCGCGGCGGGCAGCGCCGCGGCGTCGTCGTCCGACGACGACGCCTCGTCCTCGTCCGCGACGGCGTCCCACGATGCGGCGACGCGGGCCTGGAGCACGAGGCTCGCGACGGCCGCGCGCTCCGGCGACGGCGGCGCGCTGGCTGCGTCGAGCCAGCGCTCGAGGCCGTCGACGAGGGCCCGCGTGACGGGCCCCGCGCGGAGCGCCGCGGCCGCGAGCGCCGCCGCGGCGCGCGCGCCGTCGCCGGCCTCGTCCGCGAGCGCCTCGAGAGCGTCTTCGACGCTCGTCGGCCGCGCCGCCCCGACGGCGAACACCTCGGCGACGTACCCGTCGTCGTCGTCGTGGCGGCCGCCGTCGTCGCCGTCGCCGTCGTCCCAGAGCGTCCAGGGCTGGTCGGGCTCGCTCGCGCGCCGCGGCCGCGCCGCCGACGCGCGCCGCCGCCGCGCGTCCGCCGCGCGCGCGGCGACGAGCGACGGCCGCTTCGCCGGCGGCGGCGCCGGCGTCGGCTTCGGCGCCGCCGGGGCCCGGTGCACGGCGCAGGGCAGGACCGCGCGCCGCTCCCGGAGCGAGCCGCGCCGCGCGCGCTCCGCGATGGCGGCGAGCGCGGCCGGGTCGTCGTCCGGCGGCGGCGTCGCGGGGCCCGCGTGCGCGCGCCGGGGCCGGGCGGGCGTCGCCGCGCCGTCGGACGCCTCGTCCTCGCTGAAGGCGCCGTCGAACTTGGACGTCATCGGTGGCAGCGACCGGCTCCGCTGCGGCGTCGCCGGCGCGCGGAAGCGCTCGGCCGCGGGCTCCTGCGCCGCGGGCGGCTCGTCGGGCGCCTCGGGCGGCGGCGGCCGCGGCGGCGGGGGCTCGAGCGCGACGACCGTGGCCGCCGCGGCCGCGCGGCGCGCGCGGCGCCGCCGCCGCGCGGCGCGCCGCGGGTCCTCGTCGTCGCGCGACGCCGTCGACTCCGCCGTCGCGTCGTCGTCGGCCGTCGCCGTCGACGCCGTCGTCGCCGTCGCGAGCTCGGCGTCGACGTCCACGTACTCGGCCTCGTCGCCGCCGTCGTCCGAGAAGCCGTCGCCGTCGCCGTCGCCGTCGTCGGCCGCCGCCGCCGCGCGCGGGTCGACGAAGGTCGTCGCGAGCGGTGGCGGCGGCGGCGCGCGCGGCGCCCGGGGGCGCTGCGCTTTTTCGCAGTCGCAGATGGCGTCGACGACGACGTCCCAGAGCGCGTCATCACTCGCTTCACACAGAACCTCGTGCGTCGCCGCGGCGAGCGGATCCGTCGGCGCGGCCTTGCGCGGCGGCGGCGCCTCGAAGGCGCGATCGAAGAGCTCGCGCTCCGCGACCGACGGCTGCTCGACGGCCGTCAACGAGCCCATCTCTCACGCCAATTGCATCTACCTCTGCACAACCATCGGCACTCGGCGCCTGGACAGCTCGCCTCGCCTCGACGCGCGCCTCGGACCCGTACGCGCGACGCGTCATCGGCTGGGCGCGCGCGCGTCGAGCCCGCGCGGCGCACACGCGTCATCTACGTCGAAGGCGTGCTTATGTACAGGCCAAAGGCGGCGGGCGCGCGGCGCGACCGTAGTCGCGGGGCCTCAGCAGATGTCCGGGCGGCGGAAGTTGAAGTCGCCGAGGGCGCCCGGGCTCGAGTGGCGGAGGTGGCAGGACAGGGAGTAGTTCGTCGTCTCCGCGCGCTTGAGCGCGTCGGCCTGGTCCTCGGCCTTCTTCGAGAGGCGGTCGATGTCGTCGGCCTGCGACTTCAGGCGCTGCGCCTGGATGGCGACGGCGCGCTTGAGCACGGCGTTCTCGCGCTCGAGGCGGCCGACCTTCTCGTCGTCCTTGGGCGCGGACCGCGCGATGACAAAGGCCTCGAAGGCCCGGAGCGCGCGCGCGGCCCGCGCGCGCGCGTCGTCGACGCCCGTCGACTTGGCCATCTCCGTCACGAAGGCGCCGATCCAGTCGTCGGGCGTCTGGGGCGACGCGGCGGCCTCGGCCTCGGGCGCCGGCGGCGGCGGCGGCGGCGGGCTCGCCGCGGCCGAGACGTGCGCGGCGAGCTGGAGCGAGCTCAGCTGCGCGATCGCCGCGTCGACGTC